AAAAAAAAAAAAAAAGAAAAGTTATTTCTGTCAGGAAAAAATAAAATGTTCTACAAGGATGAAAATGTTAGAAGTATCACAAAAAAGTATATTTTAAAAAACCATATAAATCCCACAAGTGTATGTGGTTGTTTTTCTTATTTTTTTTACTACAGGAAATAATATAGCTCTTTTTTTTTTTTTTGAGATGAAGTCTCGTTCTGTTGCCCAGGCTGGACTGAATTTTCATGGGGTTTCGCCTTGTTGGCCAGACTGGTCTTGAACTCCTGACCTCAAGGGATTCACCCGCCTTGGCCTCCCAGAGTAGTGGGATTCCAGGAGTGAGCCACTGCATCTGGCCATAATATAGATTCCAGGCGAGAGCCACTGCGCCTGGCTACATTATTTTCATCCTGGCAGTTATTTCTGCCAGGAAGAAATAAAATGTTCTACATTAAAAGGGATGTTAAGAAATCTAAAAGGGGTAATTATAAAGCTGTCCATGAAAATACACAGAATTACACCTACATTTTTTAGTATATTAAGTAAAATGGGAATAACCAAGCACAGAAGAGGTAACCAGGGACAGATACTAACATTTGGAGGCTTGCACAATAATTAGGTGAAATATACATATTCCAAACAGGCCTTTTTGTCACCACACAGGAAAGAATTTCTTAGAGTTGTTTCATTTGCAGAGATAAAAATAATCTATATTATGGCCAGATACAGGGGCTCACGCCTGGAATCCCACTACTCTGGGAGGCCAAGGCGGGTGAATCCCTTGAGGTCAGTAGTTCAAGACCAGTCTGGCCAACAAGGCGAAACCCCATCTCTACTAAAAATTCAATCCAGCCTGTGCAACAGAGTGACACTTCATCTAAAAAAAAAAAAAAAAAAAAGCTATATTATTTCCTGTAGTAAAAAAAAAAAATAAGAAAAACAACCACATACACTTGTGGAATTTATATGGGTTTTTAAAATATACTTTTTTGTGATACTTGTAACATTTTCATCCTTGAATTTCTGATTTCCTTTCCTTTTTTTCTCCTATTCTCTCATAACTTGATGCAGTCACTGAAAGCCAAGATACTCCTCAATACTGCTTAAGGGTACAAAAATCTATAAAGATTACTGATCTCCAATGAGGCATTTTTCCTAGAGAATATGTAATAGCTGGACAGTAAAAAATAACATCATATTCAACAGGAAAGAAACCTGCAAAAATAATTTCCTATTAAAGGCACGATAAGCCAAAAAGAAACTGATCTCTCTCCTACAGAAGTACAGTAAAATCTAAACTGGTCACACTAACAAATACAGCATCTATACTCTGAATGATATAAATTTGGGTTTATGATGAAATACATCTTTCCAAAAATATACATTTTAAATAGGTTTTACACAGGTAATATAAAATCAGTTTGCATTCATTCAGCTACTACATACTGCCAAATGGTTTAGATATCTGAATAACTTTTATGAAGTGCCAGTTTAGGGCTTTTCCCTATTTTTAGAAATTGGGTTGTCTGTCTTTTTCTTATTGATTTGTAAATATTCTCACACATGTTCTGGATTTGAGTCCTTTATCAAAAGTAGCAAGTATTATAAATGTCTCTGTCCAGAACACTGATTTTTGACTCCCCATCTTATGTTCTTTCTTTGATATCACATAGCATTTTCTATGGGTAGATAATTGTTGGGTCTCATAAAAATGTGCAACTTCTACACATTAAAAAAAATTGAAATAAAATAAAAAATGGCAAGGAAATATATTTACTACAAAAATGACTAGGAGAAGCATTAATGTTTTTACTTATTTAAAAGTTCCGACTCAAAATGAAAAAGGGGGAAAAATAAACAGCAAGAATCCAGCACATCAATAGTGAAAAGGCAGGCTCTCCCACTTTACAGAAAAAAAAAAAAAAAGAAATAATTCACAAGGGCAAAAAATGCTCAGTGTCACTGCTAATCAGGTTAATATAAAGTAATAATTTTAAAGTAATCTTGATGCAGTCAAGAATTAGGTGAAACTGATACTTTGATACACTGACAACTCAGATATGCTGATAGTAATATAAATGGATCATCAGCTTTATTTTTTAGTCAATTTGGCAAATTTAACAAGTTACAAAAACATCCAAGTCCATTGATCCAACAAGTGATCCCACTTCTAAGAACCTAAAGAAAAAATATACTAAAAGAGATGTATCAATAAAGATTATATATGGATATATATATTATATATAACTTTTATAATGTAAACTATCTAAAGGTAAGAAAATGATTGAATTGTAGACTCTAAAGGAACAAAATGCAGTAATTTAACATAATAGTTCTGAAACTATATAACAACAAAAAATTTATGCCACATTATGAAAAGATATAAAACTTTTGAATATCAAAATATGCATAAAAGTATAAAATACTGAAAAATATTAACAATTGTTTAGGATGGCATGATTATGGGAAATTCTGTTCTCATTTTACAAAGTTTCTGTAATGTTACTATATTATCTAATTAAAAAAAAAAATTTTTTTAATATATATTTTTTTTTTTTTTCGAGACAGAGTTTCACTCTGTCACCCAGGCTGGAGGGCAATGGCGTGATCTCGGCTCACTGCAATCTCCCCCTCCTGGGTTCAAGCGATTCTCCTGCCTCAGCCTCCTGAGTAGCTGGGA